CAATTCTTCTCTCAGAGACTGTAGCCTAAAGGGACAGGGATGCCCAGGGAGCTCCCACACTGGGCGAGTACAGCCCGAGGGTGCCTCCCTGACCCCACACGGCCGACACTCACCACTTGACTGCCAGGTTCTGCACCTCGCCATTCTTGTCCTCCAGGAGCCTAAGCAGCATCTTCACCACCTTGCGCTCACTGTCCTCATCCAGCTGGATGGAGTCCTTCTGCAGCTCTGACATCAAGTCGCTGGTGGCCATGAACCTGGGCAGGGAGGGCAGAGGAGGATTTCTGAGCAGCTCTGGGGCCCCAGTGATTTAGGAAGTATCATAGAGTTCCCCCCGAAGCAGACCTTCAAGGGAGGTTCAAGGGAGAGTAGATCATCTGGGCTGTGGGCACAGTCAGGCTACCACAGGGAGACCTTGCATGAGAGACACCAACTGCCACACCGTGGCCAACTAAGAGTGGTGCAGCATACTAGCTAAATGCTTAGGGCTTCAGAGTTTGTGGCTCTTGCTTCCGCCATTTACGGAAATGTGAACTTGGGCTACTTCACTTCGCTGAGCCTTCACTGCACTGTCTGAAAAATGGGGATGAGAATAGCACCTGTCTCGTGGAGTTGTGTGGAAGATAAAATGAAATGATGCATGTGATGTGCTCAGCACACAGCGAGTGCTCAGTAAAGAAACAGTGAGTGGCACTGCCGTTATTATAAAGACACAGTACATCATGCACATCTCATTCACTCTAGAAATCTGAACAGACACCTTCCAGCCAAGTCAGGTGTCAGCAAGCAGCCCCTCTACCGGAAACTGGAGGGGGCTAGCCCTCCACACTTCCACTTCACAGAACCGACCCTGGCCTTAGACCTGTGGTTCTCAAACTGCAGCCAGCAAGAGTGCCATCCCAGGGTGTCTGAATCAGCAGGTCTGAGCTGGGGCATTTCTAACACGTTCCAGGATGACGCTGAGGGGCAGGGACCACTCTCTGAGAACCATACTAGTGGGCCTGGGTACACCTTAGACACTGCTGTTGACAGCTGACCGGTCCTCAGTTTTGACTCCCTGGCCCAGGGTGAGCATCATGGTCAAGGGCTACCTGCCCCTGGGTGCGCAGATCAGTGGCCTGATGCCCTCTTTCAGGCATTTGAAAGTGCAGTGGTGGGTGGTCTGAGCTGGAAAGCCATTGAGAGTTGGGGGTACAGGGGGCGCTGTGGAGCACCATTCCTGACAAAATTCAGAAGGGAGGGCAGAGTCTTAAACTGGCAGCCCTCAGCTGCGTCCATCTTGCAAATGTTTTTCAAAAAATTTAAATTATTTGTCAATACTTGAAAGCTGGGAGAGTTGACATAAAAGTATTGAGTTCCGGATTCTCTTGAAGACAGACTATTTGAATGCAGCTGGGCTCACAGTCCTGGTGACAACAATTTGCTCTAGTCAAATCACGGCTGCCCTCTTTGGATGAAACACACACTCTCCAGGTCACCAGGTTCCTACCAGGCCCACTCCACCTGTTCACAGGCTCTTGCAGGCACCTGAGAATGGAGACTAGAGGAAAAAGCAGGACAGAGCAACAAGGAGAGATGCCACAAAGTTGGGACCAAAGAGTGGTGGCCCCGGGAAGCTTCCAGGTTTTGCTGACCTACAGGGCACCCACCTCCTCACACCAGCCTTGGTTTCTGAGCTGAGCCAGTCAACCAAAAGCCCTACCCTCCGCTGCCATCCCCCCACCCTCTGAAAAATCGGCCACGGTCAGCCATGTCTTTGTAGGCTCAGACCTGCCTCTGGAAGTCATGGCGGCTCACACCACCCTGTTACCAGGAAGTCACCTGTCGATGTCATAGCTGTTTATTTTTAACAGCTGGGATAAGCCTCAGGCTGCTGAGAGGAGGAGGAGGAGTGGCAGGGCTGACCGTGCCTATCTCTGGGCCTGGCCATTGTCGGAGAAGCAGCCAAGGCAAGGTGAAGGAAGGGGTTTGGATCTGAGCCAGGCCAAGGTCCCAGTCAGGCACATGCACTCCCAGGTCTGTCCACCTGAGGGAATGTTCTAGGAAGGCAGGCAGGGCCTCTGAGCTGCATTTCTGCTGCAGTGCATGGAGATCCAGCTCAGCCTGGCAACTCAAGGGGTGTGCTCCTCTGCCCAAGATGGGCCTCCTGCCCCTTCTTTCTTCTCCATCTGTTGAACACCTGTTCGTGCTGAGGGCTCAGCTGACATCAGTCTCAGGGATGACTTCTCTGACCGCCCTGTCCTATCCCCCACGTACACTCTCTCAGAACACTTGGTTCGTCCAGACAGGACCTCTCAGAGAAGTCTGCACCCCTCCATCACAGCACCTCTCATACTACGCTGCACTCCTGGTCACCAATGTGTCTCCCCCAGTGAATTGTTGACACACAGAGGCTTGTCAGTTTCATCTCTAGAATTCAGGCCCCACAGAGAACAGGTCCAAAGAAGGCTAGGGTGGGGGCCAGGGAGAGGGCGGAAAGGCAGGAAGGGTTACAGTTAGCCTCTGACGGGGCTCAAAGCCAAACAGCTATGCAAAAACCTGAACTCAGAATCAAACCTTTCTGAAATATGCTTGGCATTTCAGACACCCCCTGGGTCCTGGGAACGTTTGGCTCTCCAAGAAAGAAAGCCCTATTGTGCATCTGTGTGTGGCGGTAACAATAGGGGTGTACAGAAACAGTGTTTAATTTGGTAGATAAGAGCTTTGAGCACCACAGTTAGGCTTTAAGTAAATACACTGGTCTTGTCATTTAACAACTGGGTAAATCTGAGCACCAGACTCCTCTCTGAGTCCCACTTTTTCCACCTACAAAATGAGAACTTTCTTTGTCCTCCTTGGGAGTTTTCAAGAGAACAATGAGTTCTTAGCAGGAGGCAGATTAGGAAACTGGGCTCAGAGAGGTTGCAGGAACTGCCCAGTGTCACGTAGCAAGTTGGGAGGAAAATTAGCCCGCCAGTCAGTTCTCCTGGCTCCTCAACCAACACTACTGTGTTTTCAAGTAATGATGAGGGAATTCCTACCAGACCTACCAGCTTACCCATTTCACTGTCAGAGTCTGCGTGGGAACAGGGCAGCCTCCTGCCCAGAGTGGGGGCCCAGGAATAACAAAAATGGAAGACATCCTCCACCCTGCCCACCTCTGTCTGGGGTCACTGCTTGCCTCCAGGAGCCAGAGGACACAGCCTCTGTTTCATTCCAGAGAAACCTTAGAGGCAGCTCAGCTGAAACACTTGGCCACATGGGTGCCTGGACAACTGGTCGGCAGGACCCAACCTCCCTGGTATTTGGACTCTAAAAATAGACACCATCCTCATGTACTTGGGTGGTTTTAAGTGTTCTAGGGCTGCTGGCAGAACAGGCTGAAAGGGCTTCTTAGGCTCTAGGTGGCAGGACCAGCTCCTTCTCCTAGAGACTAAACCTAAGGCCCTAGAAACAGTGGGGCAAAATCCCCTCTGCTGTGTGACCTCAGGCAAGTCACTTCACCTCTCCAAGCTTCTGGAGAACAGGAAGAACAATCATTATCACCCAGGTGGACAGGTGGACTGAATGGGACTACAATGTACAGCACAGCAGGGAGCCCAGGATACAGAAAACATTTCTTGAGCACCTACTATGTACACAGAAGAGGCTCTGGGATACAAAAAGGAAACACACAGTTCTGTGCTCCAGGAGTCCTGGGTCTCCCAAGGCTAAGATGTGATGCAGCAGGAACATGGGCAGAAGAGGTGTGGGAGCTCAGAGGAGGTGCCCAACCTGCCTGGGTATTAGCAGGCATCCCAAATAAGTGACAACCGAGAAGGAGCTAGCCAGGTGAATGGGGGACATGAAGGGAGGCACAGAACTTCCAGGTAAAAGCCCAGAGTGGAAAAGGGGCATGGCAGATTTCTGCTGTGCACAAAACCATAATAGTGTCTGTTTATTATGTGGTTACCTGGTGCCAGCCACTAAGCATTGCACATGCATTAACTCACTTCATTCTCGTACCAACCCTCTGAGGTGGGTTCTGTTATTATCCCCATCTTATAGGAACCAAAGCTGAGGCTCAGGAGAAGTCAAGCAAGCTGTCCGTGATCACACAGCCAGTAAGTGGTTGTGACTAGGATTTGAACCTAGGACTGTGCCTCAAAAGACCTACTAAAGCTGTTCTAGGGGTTAGTGAGGAGTGTTTAGGAACTGGTTTCAGGAGAAGGCAGAGAGGTTAATCTCCTCACCTGTCAGAGGGCTGGAATCAGATGGCCTTGCCAAGATCTCAGTCTCTATGTGAGACTGACCTGGATTTGGACCCCAAATCCTCTACTCTCTAGTTCTGTGACTGTACCTAGGCCCTTCATGCCTCTGGGGCTTGGTTTTCCTATCTGTAAAATGGGGATAAAGTGATAGAATATTCAATAAGTCAGTGCAGTTATATTGGTCCCTCTGAGCTTCTTTCAGCTCAGAGGGTCCACTGGCTGTGTGACCATGGGACAAACATCCCTGGGCCTCAGTTTCTCCTCCAGGATGAGGGAGTTGGACCACAAGTTTCCTCTATTCTTTTCAGCCCTGTTCCTGTGAAGCTCAGGATGCTAGGGGAAGGTGGAATAAGGGGAGTGGACATCCAAAACCTAGACCCCCCCCCCAACTCAACCATTATCTACCTGTGCCTGCAAGACCACTCAGCCCAGCCCCCTCCTTCAAGCTGAGTCAAAGCAAACCTGGGAGTGGAGGGTATGGGAAAGGGTGCCCTCCTGTGCAGGCAGGAGGCCTGGAGTGATAGTGAGAAGAGGGCGGGGTGGGGTGGGGGGCTGTTGCTGAGGTTACCACTGAACAAGTAAATCCCGGAGTGTAATCCCAGAAAGGGGCCGGGTTTCAATGCAGTAAAGCATAGGCAGCGCTGGGGTCCCTCGCTTCATTGTGGGCGCATCAGATGTGGGGCGAGAGGAGGGCTGGGCGTAAATGAAGAAAGAAGAGACAGAGGAAGGATGCAGCGGGGCGGAGCTGGGGCTTTAATGGGGGACAGGAAGCAGGGATTGAAATTTACATGGCCGGAGATGAACCAGGAATTAGAGTCACGGACAGGGCAAGGATGCAATCCTGGGAGAAGCCAGCCCCAGCTCCCGGGGGCGTTGAGGTGAGGGGGAGGGGAGGGTCTCGGCGAAGGGGCGGGGCTTAACCCTGATAAAATGACTGAGACTGCGGGGTCCGGGGCCCATGCCCCTAGTAGGGAGGGAGACCCAGGGTTTCAGTCGAGGCGGAGAGGTGGGGCGGAGCTGCGGGGCGCACCTGAAGTCCTTGTCGCTGGACGTCATCTTCTCCAGAAGGCTGGAGATGTGAAAGGCCGCGGTGCTCATGGTAGCTGCGCGCCGATGGCCGGCCGGCGGGAGGGAATATGGCGGCGCAGGCGCCCCCGGCCCCGCCTAGCCGCATCGGTTGTGCTCACCAGACCGAAATAGCAGCCCCCGCCGGGCCCCGCCCCACCGGCGCAGTGCTGGAGCCTCTGCCGCTGCCACTGCGGGAGGCCGCAGGGGGCCAGCGAAGGGCTCCGCGGTCCAGCCTGAGTGTCCAGCCCGGGCACCACTTCGTGCCCGTGGACGGCCCAGCACAGGCTTGCACACCCCCAGAGACGGGGAGGTCACCACTTATTACAGGACCATTCCTCCCCGCGATTCTTGTGAGTCCTGGCTCTGCCCTCTGTACTCCACCCTGCTCGGTGGCATAGGCATGATATCACGGTCTCAGGATGGAGTCCTAGTTCCGCCAGTTCCCCTGCTGTGTAGCGTTAGCTAAATTACTTCCCTAAGCCTCAGCTTTCTTCTCTGTAAGCATTCAAGGAACAGGAGCTGCTAATTGAAGGTCGAGCCAACCAAAGCCCTTACCAACCCACCCCACTCCCCACGCTGGCCTGCCCCAGAGGCGGACAGTATCTGAAGAGTGTACCCAGCCACACCAGGGCCCCTCCCTGCCATCCCCAAGCCTCAACCCATCAAGGTCTGTTTCTTCATTTTATAGCAATGCAGCTGAGGCTGAGAAAGGCATAGCCAATGAATCTGAGATGGAATTAGGACTGACCCCAGCATCCTTAATACCTGGAGCAACAATTCTTCCATAAAGCGGCCCACAGTTAGGTACAACCTCAGGGTGGAAGGCTCTGTAGGAGGACAAGGAGAACCCTCTCTAAATAGCCAGAAGGCTTATGGCTCTTGAGAAGGGAGTAGCATGTACTTTGGATCAAGGCAATCCTGGGTTCAAATCCCTGCTAGGCTACTTCCTGGCTGTGTGGCCTTGGAAAAATGGGACAACCTCTCTAGTCTATGTTTATCTGACCCATAAGATAGCCATAAAAGAAATCTTTATTAATAACACACTTACTGGGTACTTATTATTATGGGTAACTGGATTCTACAGCAGTGCTATCCAACAGAATTTTCTGCAATGTTGGAAATTTTCTACGTTACGCTATCCAATATGATAGCCAGTAACTACAGGTGGCTATTGAACATTTGAAATGTGACTAGTGTAACTAAGGAGCTGAATTCTTAACTCTACTTTTAATTAATTTACATTTAAATAGCCACCTGTGGCTAGTGGCTACCATATTGGACAATGTAATTCTGCATATTAGGGACACAGCAGGGGATTAGACACACACAACCCCTGCCCCTGGGGACCTTACATTCCATCGCAGGACATGAGCGTTAAGAAAGTAAGTAATTATCCCTGACTGGTGTAGCTCAGTGGGTTGGGCATCATCGCACAACCCAAAAGGTTGCTAGTTGGATTCCCAGTCAGGGCACATGCCTGGGTTGTGGACCGTGTCCTCAGTTGAGGGCACATGGGAGACAACCAATCCATGTTTCTCTTGCACATCAATGTTTCTCTCCCTCCCTTCCCCTCTCTCACTTAAAAAAAAAAGCAAGTGATTAGATAAGGAAAATTAAGATCTATATAGAAAGTAAAAGAAAGTAAAAGAATAGAGAGTACCTGGGTGTGGAGGGACAACTTTAGCCAAGGTGGTCAGGGAGGCCCTTTTTTGAGGAAGAGACATTTGGGCTAAGATCCAAACAAATAAACAAGAGGCAACTGGGCAAAGATTTGAGGAAAGAGCTTCCCATATAGGGGGAACAGCAAGTACAAAGGCCCTGAGGTGACAACACGCTTAATGTATTTAAGAAAAGTGGCTGGACTGGGCCCTGGCCAGGGTGGCTCATTTGGTTGGAGTGTTGTTTCACAAACCAAAAGGTCATGGGTTCAATCCCCAGTCAGGACACGTGCCTAGGTTGTGGGTTGGTGCCTGGTTAAGGCTCATGAGAGAGGCAACTAATCAATATTTCTCTCTCACACTGATGTTTCTCTACCCTTTTCTCTCCCTCTCTTCCCTCTCCCTAAAATTAGTGAGCTGTCCTTGAGTGAGGATTAAAAAAAAAAAAAGAGGATGGAATGTGGTCAGTCTCCTAAGAAAGGAAGTGAGGTCAGAGAGATGGGTAGGGGCCAGAATATTCACAGCCTTTGAGGTCAAGGTAAGAAGTTAGGATTTTATGTCAGAGAACTAGGGAGTGACCAGAGGGCAACAAGCAAGGAGGTAACATTACTGATTTATTGTTAGAAATATCCCCTTGGCTGCCCAGCAGTCAAGAATGATGGCGGTTTGCATTAGGGGAGTGGTGGTGAACATGGGAGGAAATGGACAGATTGTAGATGTAATACAGAAATAGAATACAGCGCTGTGCTGAAGGATTGGATGTGGAGGCGAGAAAAGGGGAAGAATTAAAGGTTTTTAGTTGAAGCAGCTGAGTAGATGATAGGGAGGAGGAAGCCAGGGAAAGCAACCCTTTGAGTGGAACGAGGGCTTGAGAGCTCTGCATTGACCTGTTACCTGGGAGATACTGACAAAACATCCAGGGAGAGATGTCATGCTGACAACTGGACACACTAGTTGCATCAGGGAAGAGCACTGCGTTGGAGATGGAGATAGATGGAAGATCTTCACTCAGGCGGTATTTAAAGTGATGGGAGTGTACAAGGGTGGACAATATTAAGTATTATTGAGGATGGGAACAAACAAAATTATTCTATAATGAGAGCTTTAAATTGGCACAATTATATTGGAAAATTGCTTGGTAATATTTACAAAAGCTAAGCATATATCTACCTTGACCTGCTCAGATAAGCAATTCCATTCTCAGGTATGTATTCAAGATACATGAATGCTTATGTGTTCAACAAAAGACTGGTTACAGCAACTTTATCCAGCATAGCCAAAATTTAGAAACAACCCAACCATTCAGCAACAGGTGAGTGGATAAACAACGGTGTATTCGTTAAAATGGAATACTACATAGCAACGAAAACTAACAAGCTACAGCTATGCAAAATAACATGAATGAATCTCAGCAATATTATAATGAATAAAAAAAGCTGGACTCAGGAATGTCTACTGTGTGGTCCTTTTTTTAAAAAAAATATTTATTTATTTATTTATTTATCTTTAGAGGGGAAGGAGAGGGGGAGAGAAACATCAATGTATGGTTGCCTCTAGTGTGTCCCCTGCTGGGAACTGGCCTGCAGGGAACTGGCTTGCAACCCAGGCATGTGCCCTGACTGGGAATTGAACCTCAATCCTCTGGTGTGCAGACCTGCGCTCAATCCACTGAGCCACACCAGCCAGGGCTGTGTGGTCCCTTTTGTGTGAAGTTCAAAACCAGGCAAAAGTAGTCTAAAGCTGATAGAAGTCAGAATAGTAGTTACCAGGGGAACTGATAGGGAAGGGTCAAAGGTAGCTTTTGGGGGTTGCTCTGAATATTTTCTCTCTTGATTGGGGTGATGATTATGGGTAGAGTATATAAATAGGTAAAAATTGTCGAGATATTCTTTGCTACATGGAAATGTGCCTCATTGAAAAGGAGAGAAATGAAAAACAAACATGCAGTTTAACAAGTTTTTTTGGTGAATAACATTTTATAATAATTTTAGGAGTCAGTGAATATATTTTTACAAGTCAAAAAAGATTAAGTAAATAATGATGACTTTCAGTCAGGGGGCAGCATAGTTACGTAAACACGGCTCATCTCCTCACAGAACCACATCAAAATTACAACTAAATTGCCCTGGCTGGTGTGGCTCAGTGGATCGAGTGCCAGCCTGTGAACCAAATATTCGCTGGTTCAATTCCCAGTCAAGGCACATGCTTGGGTTGTGGGCCAGATCCCCAGTAAAAGGCACATGAGAGGCAACCACACATCGATGTTTCTCTCCCTCTCTCCTTCCCTTACCCCCTCTTTAAAAATAAATAAAGCCTTAAAAAATAAAAATATTTAAAAAATTACAACTAAAGTATAGAACAGTCACTCAGAACCATCAGAACTCAAGTTGAATGGAAGCCTGACTACTAGGTAGTTAAAGAAACCACATCCGGTGGGGGGTTGGAGATATAGAACAGGCTGGTCCCACACCCACATATGGTGGATAAAAATTCAGAAGGCATATTTTGGGAGTAAGGAGTGGCAACTCCACACCAGGCCCCCCAGCTCAGTGTCCCAGTGACAGGAAGATAAATCCGTATAACTTCTGGCTACAAAAACCAGTTGGGATTCAGTCAGCAGAAGAAACTTCTAGAGTCCCAAGCAGTTCCTCTTGAAGAACCCACACACAGACTCACCTACTCCCTCTGAGTTCCAGCACCTGGAGCAGCTTGAAAGGCACCAGTAGTATACAGGGAGGAAGTGAATCGTCTGACATCAAGGCGAGAGCTAGGGGACAGTTTTCTCCCAGACAGAGAGGCTATTGTCCCTTTTCTGAAACCTCCCACCAACAGAGCCACAGAGCCGGCAGGCAGGTAACCAGGTTGACCCCATCAAACCAGGCTAATACTGTTTGCCCCACCCAGGAGAGCCCCTGAGACTCTGTCTCACCCAGTTTATGGGCTCACCCAAGCTATTAGCGGAGACTTCCATATGAATGGCTGATCTTGGCTCATGCTTCACAACTTCCTAAATCCTCTCAAACAAGCAATGGCCAGCAAACTCAGTGAGCCCCTAATCCCTGTACCTCTTGCAAAGTGGCCCCACACATGGCACTAGCAGCAGCCAGCCTAGATTCACAGTTTGGCTTTGCCTGGGAATCTCCAAGCCCAGC